TCACACTCAAAGTTGTCAAATGTCGCATCACCTCAAACACACATTTTGTACCGCTTCAAACTCGTTGAGGTAAGTATTTCAAACGCGGGCTAGGCGCTGAATGTGATTGAGGCGGTGAGTCGTATGTCATGAATGAGTTGAGATGAATTGTTTTGTCTTATTCTCCCATCCCAAGTAGGACAATGACAATAGTTAAAAATCGTGTCTGATGAGCAACTGATTAAATCGATATTATTGAATGAGTGACAGTGACTGTTCACTGTGACATATTATTGTAATTGGTTTTTGTTTGCATAAATAACTTGACTTTTTGAAGTTATACTTCTTTAGGCGCGTTATGAAAAATTGATGAGAGTGAAATTTTACGTAGCGCGCGCACCGTTACACAAAATTAACAGAATGAAGTTGCCCACGGAAGATGCTACGGCATTGGACATAATTTAAAAACAACATTCGAATAATAATAGAATTTATGTTACACTTAATGTAAGAGAATAATAATAAATATTTAATTTTTCAAATGTAAACTATAATTAATTATTTGCATGCAATCAAAAACTATTTTTAATAATGCCAAAGAAGTATAACTTCTTACGCGCGTACATAAGTACTGTAAGAGAATAATAATAAATATTTAATTTTTCAAATGTAAACTATAATTAATTATTTGCATGCAATCAAAAACTATTTTTAATAATGCCAAAGAAGTATAACTTCTTACGCGCGTACATAAGTACACGCACCCTTTTTTATTTATTTTTTTATGGCCGAAAGACCTGCGCCATAGAGACAATGCATTCGTACATAAAGGGACTAACAGTACAGAACAGAATCCTCAAATGAAGTGGTACAATGTATTAACTCATTTTATAAAATGAGGTGGGACATACAAACACTTCAATTTCGTTTGTCCTACCCATCTCTAGTGTAGGCCGAGAGAAAAAGCCGGCGTAAAAAGCTCTCGGTACTCTTTTAAAAAATTTATTGGACCTTTCAGATCCTTTAAAATTGGGATGGTATTGTGGAAGTGCAGTGTCACCGCGAACTTATCCTATCCATTGTAGGGAGTAACAATTTAGTAACCAAGTTAATAGCGCGTTTTAAATGCAACAACCGCCATCTAGTAATGGACATAAAAATTAACTAATTCATTAAACGTTACTCATCTGTACGTAATTTAACTTGAAATCATAATTTATTCAGCAAAAATAATTCCTTTTTTAAATTATAGTGTTACCATGATCCTTAATAAAAATAAACAACTACAGAACAAACATACTTTTAAGTCTGGAAAACTAATAGCCAAAACAAAGGCGGGAAAAATAGTAAGGAAAACAGATATTCTCATTTTCCTATAAGCTTTCAATATTACACTAGATTTGTAATTAAACAGATAGCGTCAGTGATACATTAACAAGGATTTTTCCTCAACTCCCAACACGGAAACATTCGACCAAATTATTTTTAATTGTTGTTATTGACCTTAGAAATATACTTTTAAGATTATTAATTTTAATTTGTATATGAATTCAGTATTTACATATCACAATAGATGTATTTTTATGTTAAACTAGTGGACCCCACAGACGTTGTCCTGCATGATATTTAAAGCGATTAGGATATTAAGCAAAGTATGAAAGTACCGACTGCAGTGCCATCTGACGGGCTGCTTTGTGAATCTAAACCATTCCCAGATCTCCTTGAACACACACAAAAAATTTCATCAAAATCGGTCCAGTCGTTTGAGAGAAGTTCAGTGACATAGACACTCACAGAATAATTATATATATAAAGATATGTAAAAAATACATAACAGAGCTTTAGGTATAATTTAGATTTATAAAATACTAGCGACCCGCCCCGGCTTCGCACGGGTGCATGCTGATACTAAATACACTACAGAAAAACTGTGAACGTTGTATATAAAAACATAGCGGCCCGCTCCGGCTTCGCACGGGTATAAAATATATAGCCTATGTGATTAAAATCGATCCAGTAGTTTTGATTTATTCATTACTGCCCGTGGCCCGCACGCGTTAAATTTGGAGTAAAACAATCCCCCTTTCCCTATACCATGAAGATTTTCTGCTATCTTTGGAATATCTAAATTCATACACTACATTTTTACTTATTTACTTTTTATATTTTTAACTATTTATTTTATTTTTACAACATATTACAAAATGTCTTTCGCTCGCTCGCTCAAATCTAAGCCTGCAACGTTGAAGGTTTGACCCTGCGATTTATTAATGGTCATTGCAAAAGATGTATTTACCGGAAACCGTAAACGTTTAAATTGGAAGGGTAAATCCGATGGTATCAGAGGGATTCGGGGAATCAATACATCTTCTCAGTTCTCCGGTACCACATCCTGTGAGTATTGTGCACTCAATTATGAAAGTTTTCAATGATATTACCAGCAAACGCGTGCCATTGCAAAGTTTAGGTGGATTCAGGTTTCTTAATAAAATAACAGGACAACCTACTTTCAACACCATTTTGTGAGGAGGGAGTCCAGACGGGTTCAAAGAATTTAGAAATTCTGTAGGAAACCTATAACAGGCTGCGACTGTACTATATAAATTCCCATAGCGATGTGATCCCAACGTTGACATCGCAACCTTGTTATCGCACCAGGTACCAGCCGGTACCCCGCTGGCTCCAACTTTATACATTTTATTTAATATTTTCCCCTATCAAAGTATTTTACTCATACTCGCGTATTCTAAAGGCATATTAGTAGTATGTATGTTAATTTAATAAAAATATTAGTGTTCGTTAGCTAAGGGAGCGTTCAAGTATTACGTAACGCAATTTTTAAAGATTATAGAGGCTCCCCCCCCCATGTAACGCACCATAAAGTTTTTCTGTAACTCCCTTAACGTTACGTAAGTGACCATTAAAGACACAATCATGTTAAACAAAGTAATACCTTTGTTATTGTATTAATTGCGTAAACAAAAGAAGAGATTTTTAAGTTATATGTATAACATCCATTATATATTCTAAAAACTTTTCTTTGTTTGTTAGTTTTTCTTTAGCCGTTTTCCAAATTTTGTTGGCATTTTTTTGGCACAGTTGTGCTGGCAATTTAATATGACAGCTTTTATATGCCATGAACAGCTGATGATGCAAATCTCCCGCTTTGGAGGACATTACGGCATTTCCTCAATCTTTAACAACACTGACAACAGCAATGTGCTTCTGTGTAAACTCTAATAAAATAAAAATCACGTACCTACAGACAGTCGAGGGATTCCCCGAAAAATAAACTTAGGAGAGCAACATTAAAAGTAACGTACAATACAATAAAGGGATTCCCCGTACAAAATAAACGAAAATGGTTGCCAATTAATCCCCCAGTTTTTTTATTAAAATAAAAAATGTTACGTAACGCGTTGTTTAAATAACCCCCCTCCCGCCCATGTAACGCACTGTAACGTTTCAAAAGACTCCCCCCTCCCCCCAAATTGCGTTACGTAATACTTGAACGCTCCCTAACGTACTATTTCGAATACGTATACGTATCGTTAAGGCATTAAAAAACTTGGAAAATAATTAAAAATATTCTTATACATACTATAAATGAGGATATTATTTAATTATTTAATTTTGAACAGTTGTAAAAGTATCGAAGTAAAAATATTTTACAACGCCATCTATATTTGTTCTTATTACAACTACTCTACTGCTTCATTTAAGAATAAGTTAAAACTCTTAATATCTTAAGCTTTGTGTCTAGTTTGGTGTTAAATTTTGCTGTCATGTTTTGTCTTGTCTTACTTAGTACTGTATTTTTTATTAGTGAAACTTTTTTTTTTGAGGATATGTCCAATGTGTATTTATTTTATGTTTTACATTTATTTTAGTTTTCTGTAGTGATGTATCTGTTTAGTTTCCAATAAATAAATAAATAAATAAATACTCAGCAAGTGAACACTTATAGTGGAATAAATAATGTAATATAAGTTTCATACAAACTAAACCATTTACACTGACATTTATAACAGTAAGTTTTACTAAGCCTTGGCTTGTTACCCTGAAATCTTAAAATAACGCTAAGAAATCGCAAAAAAGGTATATTTCAGCCAACCTGAGATGTCATTGCTTGGCTTCATAAATTTAAGATAGGTATAATAATATGTATAAAGAAAAAAAAAACTTTTTTTCGCCCTGTTTGTTGTAATGTTTTCGTTTCGTTTTTTGTATTTTTTAAGTATATAGTTTAAAAATAATTAATTTTTTGAAGTGAAACTTCTTTACCGAGATTGGAAAAAAATTTAGTGTAACATTTTTTCGTTACGCGTCACATTTTTCGGTTACGCGCCATGTTGCTTTTTGAAGTCAAACTTCTTTATCGGCGTTGGAATGAAACTTCTTTATCGACGTATGGGAGAAATTTTGTAGCAAATCGTCACGTTTTTCAATGATAGTAATAATTCTATTACAATTAATGAAATTCTATAATAATATTCGTAGTAATAAGGTAAAATGAAATATTTGTATTCATGTCTATGATAATAAAAGCCTTTTGTTAAACTTTATCTAATTTAACGAATTTCTGTAAAGTTGCATATAGTAGGTAGATCATTTTTCGAAAAAGATCATAAAGAAGTTTCACTTCTTACGTGTGTACACCTAGTACACGCGCAATTTTTTTTACTATGGTGTGTGTGTGTATTTATTAAGGTAACTAGATTTTTTGAACTGTTATTTAAATATACGAGAAGTTATTATGATCAGTTGAAAATAATAATGGGCAGTTATTTTTACCGGTTGGTAAATTTGTGCGACAGTAATTAACTATAAACCTATAAAAAAAACAATTGGCCATTTATTTCGTCTTACAATGTCAGTACTAAAAAAAATATGGAAATACACAAAATTATGGAACGGGCGTTCGATAAATAGTTCAGCAGTTTTGTAGGAATCTTATTGTAAGCTTATTAACGTCAAAAAAAATGTAAAAGAACTCAAATTTACATTTGTCAAACACTTACTATGTGGTTTGAAGTCATGATCGTCGCCCCCAATAGCGTTGTTGCGGTGGTCAGTCCTCGAGTCGTGGTCATAAGTGACGTCGTGATCGTGGTCCCTCAAAGGTATTTCGCATCTCTCACCGCGCCATTCGTCCACACAGGAGCACATCCATGCGCCTTCTAACACGTGGCATACACCCTGGTAATAAATTTATTCATATCAAATTTTAATATTGATTATTTGAGCTTCTTATTCTTATTTACTAGATGACCCGGCAAACGTTTGTATTGCCATGTATAATATTTCTAGGAAACATTTTTTTTAGTTCAATAAAACTAACTATCTACAATAATAAAAAATAGGGGTTGATCGTAGAGGGGTGAAAATTAAAAGTTATTTTTGTATGATGTATCATAAAAAAATAAAAACATTTTTTTTTGTCGAAATCATAAAAAACGTTTTTGGGGTGGACACCCCTTTTCACTTAGGGGTTTGAAAGATAGATATTAGCTGATTCTCAGATTTTCTTAATATGCATAAAAAATTTCATAGGAATTGGTTGAGCCGTTTCGGAGGAGTATGAGAACGAACATTGTGATACGAGTATTTATAATATATTAGGTCCTTACATATGAAATTGGCGTTTTGTATGGGAGGAACAAAAAGTCGAATATTTTTAAATATAATATATTTAATTAATCAAAGTATGAACCATTGTTTTCTATGCACTTTTGCCATCTCATAGGTAGTTCATTGATCCCTTTACTAAAAAAAACAGTCGGACGGGAATCAATAAAATCTGTGAAGGCGATTTGGACTGCCCCATCAGAGTTAAATTTTTTCCCTTGCAAGAAATTGTCCAAATTTCGAAAAAAATGGTAATCTGTTGGAGCAAGGTCCGGGGAGTACGGAGGATCTCTTAGACATTCCAATTGAAGCTCTTCTAATTTGGTAGCCGTCTGTTGTGCAGCGTGTGGTCTAGCGTTGTCGTGAAGTAGCAGTGGCGTGGAGCGATTGACCAGCCTAGGTTGTTTAGCCGCTAGCTTTTCCATCATGGTTTGCAATTGCTGACAATAGACATCAGCCGTAATAGTCTGGCCAGATTTGAGAAAACTGCAATGAACAATACCGGCACTAGTCCACCAAACGCTTACAAGTAACTTTTTTGGGGTTAATTTTCTTGGAGCAGGATTTGGCTGGCTGGCCAGGATCCAACCATTGCGCTGAGCGCTTCCGATTATCGTAAAGAATCCATTTTTCATCACAGGTAATGATTCGGTTTAAAATACCTTCATTATTGTGCCGGTTTAGTAATGTAACGCAGCAGTCGACGCGCGTTTGCCGGTTTGCTTCAGTCAATCCGTGAGGTAATCCCATCTTTCAAGCTTTTTAATCTTCCCAATTTGCTTCAAGTGAATTAAAACAGTTTTATCACTAACACCGCAGCCTGCAGCTAACTCGGACGTGGTTTGCGATGGATCCGCTTCCACAATAGCCTTCAATACTTCATTATCAACTTGGGTCTCAGGCCGTCCACGGGGCTTGTTCTGCAGGTCGAAATTTCCAGAACGAAAACGTTGGAACCAAAAACGAACTGTGTTTTCTTTTGCAACATGACCGCCATACACATCATTCACCCTTCGAGTCGTTTCCGCAGCACTAGTGCCACGGTGGAACTCGTACTCGTAAATAATGCGATACTTTAAGTTTTCCATTTTGTAAAATGAGTGACGCAAACAGAAAAAAACAGAAGAAAAAAACAAATGAATGACGGTCATCGAAGCACAAATACATGAGTAAATTGAATTTGGAATTCCTTACCAAAGAGGAGAACATCGTGATTAAAGTGGCCAGTACGAAATACGTCAATTTCATATGTAAGGACCTAATATATATAGAGATTAAATGACCCAGTGAACTTCGTATCACCTACATTTGTGTCAAAACTTAATATTTTTTTTTAAAACAGACCCATTTCTGAACCTATAAATATATCACAACCAACCATTTTTTATTTCTAGAAATATAAAAGACATCAAATATTTTCCAGCTAGGAAAAGTTTTTTTTTTGGTAAATTTAATTGTTATTTTTAGTATTTTTCTTTAGACAAATCTGTCCAGCCATTCTCGAGTTTTAGCGTATATTATATATAAAAATATTATTTACAGTGTTACTTTACAGATCGGATATTTAATAATTTCTGATAAATTTTTTTATTGTATCTTGATTATAAACTTTATAAGTGAAGCTAATGTACAAATTAAAATACACTTTCAAGTTAAAATAAAGAAAAAAATATTTACCCTATTTAGACATTTTCCCTGGCAGAGGCAATCTTCGTATCCCATATCCAGACAGTGCTCGCAACGCGCACCTGTGTATCCCGGTGCACAGGCGCAATGGGCTTCGTGCGGAGAATCACGGGCACATACACCTCCGACCCCACACTGAAGGGACGTACACGGGTCTACGACTTGTTCGCACCGCGAGCCCTCATAACCCGCAAAACACGTACATTTGAGCGGGGCCAATCCCTCTCCTCCGTTGTTATCAGTGTCCAATTCACACCGGCCGTGCCGATTGCAGTGCGTAGCGCATCTGTAGTGTTCACAGTGTTCCCCTGCAAATAATGGTGGGCACACACAGCGTCCCGTCCCGCCCTGTGTAACGCACGTGCCCGGTCCGCACGAACGCGGGCACGTATCATTCCTCCGCGTACCAATGGCTGATATTACGCATTGGCGCTGCTTGTCTGGAGCGCTCGATGTGGGCTGTAAGCCGTCCGGGCAGAGACAAGCGGCCGCCGCGCCTCGTGGCCCTCGCACGCATTCCGCGCTCTCGTGACACGCGGACTCTCCAACCAATACGCACGTGTCACTCACAACACGGGGCGATTGGACGAGCGGGTGCAGAATAGTGAGGGCTGAAACTGGGGCTCGATGTCTATAGAGTGGTGAAAGACGCGACCCTGGCGCGGGACGGCGCGGTAAAGCTGCAAGCCCTTTTGCTCCAGCGCACCAGACTGATTCTTCCCAAATCGCAAGTCGCGCACATCCTCGTTCCAATACAACAGCGTCATTGGGATCTGCAGGTGTCGAGGCGTCATGAGGCCGGAACCAATAGTGTAACGCGCGATCTGAGCCATCGAGAGCTACACTTTCGAGTGCACCTCTGTATGGGTCAAGGAAGTAGAGTCGGGCGGCGGGGGCGTCTAGTGCTAGAGCGGTGACGCGACGGACACGTGCCCGTACAATGCGGCGGACGTCCCCACCCCACAAGGCTGCACAGTATACGCCGGGCTCCGCACCGCGGTCTGACCAGAACATTTCCCTGTACAGAAAATGAACAATGTAGTTTTGAGGAGAAAAATGCATTTTTTAATTTAATAATAATATACTTACGCAGTATCAGCTGAAACGACAATATCATCAGGCTCCGCCCCACGTTGTGCCCATAGTGTGACACGGCGACGGCCATCCAAAGCAGAGCTAGCCACGGCACCCCGCGAGCCATCTACTGCCGTCCAGAAAACTCGTCCAGAAACAACATCTATGGCCACACCGCGGACTTCACCGGTTATAGTAGCTACAGTCTCGCTCTCCGAGCCGTCGGCTGGTGTGTCCGGCCACGGAAGTAATGGATCGTGACCCGGCCCGGCCGGTTGTAATGACCCCAAGCGTAACCGGCGCACGCGACCCTTATTGTCCCCCCACCAGGCCCACCAAACGCCTTCCACGGCGGCAGCTGTCACACAAGTCACGAGCACGGTTTCGTTGTTTGTGTGCGGTGTGTCGTAATGCGGTTCGTGTTTGTGTAAATCCCACACACGTAAACGACCGCGTGACCACACTGCGACTCTTGCTGCTTCACCTGAGAGATAAAGTAAAAAGTATATCAAATATCATACTACTAAAAGTATATAAAATGTTCATAATAGATTTTTTTTATAATCTCACCTTGCGCCTCACAAGTTACAGTCTTATCGGCCAGTATTCGTTGTCGGTAGCCGTAGGCGCACTTGCAAGTGTGGTTGTGTGCGTGTTTGTGCATACACAGCTGCGAACACGAGCGCCATGTACAGTCCCCGCGATCTAAACATACATAAAATGGTCTAGTATTATCATATATATATCATATTCAATACGAAACTCAAACCAATCTGATGTGAAATCTTTAAAGGTTGAATAACGATCATAACAATAATAAAAATTGGGAAAGTATTACCTGGGTTACAGGTTTCGTCTGTGGCGACACAACGGCCATCCTCGCAAAGGAAGCTATCCTCATCACAAAGCTGCGCGTCCAACGTACGACCTACAAGGCAACACAAAACATATCCTTAAAATAGAAGTATATAAAGTACAAGTATTTACAATTAGCCCGTAGAGGTATGAGGCACGAATAATTTCAGCATGTTTTGTGATTACAGTGACCAATGTTCTAACTTCAACTTGCACCGTATATATAATATTTTGATTCTGCGAATATCTCAGTTACACTAAACTCAAGATGATACTTACAGAGTTTATCTTCATCAAAACCGTCGGCGCAATCAGATTTTCCGTCACAAAGCAGATTAGGAGGTACACAAGTGTTGTCACCGCATCTACGTGCGAAACATTATTTTTTACATTATAAAGCCTGTTTTTTAAATATATGAAGAAACATATTGAGTTGAATTAGTCTAACCTGATCATTGGAGGGGTGCAGGCCGTATTGGCGCAGAGCTCAGGCCGTTCATCGCTGCCGTCGGGGCAGTCCCGGCGTCCGTCACAGCGCCACGCTGCGGGCACACACCGCGATCCGCACGTCAAACGAGCCCCGCACCGGCCTACGTCCGCTCCTACCGACGCGTTGCAGCCTGCTTCGTCGGCTCCGTCGGGACAATCGGGTTCGCCATCACACCACCATTCGGCAGGCAGACACTCGCCCCCGGTGGGGCATGCCCGAGCACCTTCACCACATCGCGGAGCACAACCCGCTTCGTCCTCACCCGAGCTACAATCCGGCGCCCCCGAGCAGCGGAGCGCGCCACGAATGCATTCTCCGTTATTGCAGCGGAACTCCGACTCGCTGCACGCGCGTGGCACGCACTCCCGTTCGTCGGAACCGTCCGCGCAGTCCTCCTCGAAATCGCAGCGCCAGCGACCCGGGACACATCGGCCGTCCCCGCAGCGGAAGTAGGTGGCGTCGCAGGCGGCCCGGGCCGGGCACTCGCTTTCGTCCTCGCGCGCTGGACAATCGGGTTCGCCATCGCAGAGCCACTCGCGCGGGATGCATCGCCCGGACGTGCAGCGGAACTCGGCCCGGCCGCACTGTCGGGCTTCGCACACGGCACCTTCGTCCGACCGGTCTTCGCAGTCAGAGTCTTGATCGCATAGCCACACGAGAGGCACGCAAGCTCCGTTGCCGCACGTGAAGTGCTGCGGCGGGCAAGTGCGAGGCGGACATTCGAGCTCGTCGTCTCCGTCCGGGCAGTCGGGGCGACCGTCGCATCGAGCGGCGGCGGGAACGCAGCGGGCGGTCACACCGGCGGTTCGGTTTCCTCGACACTGCCACTGCGAGGCGAGGCAGGTGAAACGGTCGCAGTCGGTTTCGTCGGATCCGTCGCCACACTGTTGCACACCGTCACAGATGTGTGCAGGGTGCACGCAACGCCCGTTAGTGCATTGGAACTGGCCGGGCGAACATCGGAACGCCGGGCACGAATCGGGTTCATCTGATCCATCGCCGCAATCGTCCTGGTGATTTTAAAAATAATCAAAACGATAAACACACGACAGTAGTCGACTGTGAGGAAGTAAAAAGAGAAAATCAGAAGAAATCGTACCTGCGTATCACATTTCCACCAGAAAGGGATGCACTTGAGTGCCTTCGCACACACAAAGTGCGCGGAGGTACAATTAGGTCGACAAGAGCGTCCATCCGCTTCTAGCGCCCAGTGCTCGGGACAGGCACAGCGGGCCACTGCCCCTTCGTAGTCCTTTTCAGCTGGACTCAGAAGACATAAGCCGGAACAGTTGAGTCGCTCACACGCCACGGTCAATTCGGGTGATAGTGGTTGACGTGCCGGATGCAGCACTCGCAAGTCCATGGGTTTGTGAACGGCACGCGCTTCAGTGCGGCATCGCCAAGCACCTCCACGCCACGCCGGTTGGTCTCCCGTTTCCTGTAGACACATCGAGTTAATGTCCTTTATTCCAGGTTCAAAAGATAGCTCCTAGCTCTAGTTAAATATATGAATAACGGATGACTAAGTGAGTTCATTGCGTAGAAAACTTGAGTAAAAAATTGTGTAAGACGAAACGATGAATTACGTCACTTTATTGTGATTTATCAATGGCGGGTCTGGGACCCGATATTTTAAGCCCTCCGACGAGTCTCCAGACCTGTTCTGAAAAGTGTATTGTAGTGTAGTTCTCTCACATTGTAGTTCATGTCAGGTCTACGGCGGCAACTTTCAATAGCCCGTGTCTCCCAGTCACTCCAGTACACGCGGCCTGCCCACGCCGCTATCGCGAAAACGTGATGGAGACGAAGCCATGGCATACGATCTGTCAAGTGATACATGATTTGAGAAACAAAACTCATAAGTAATAAATTTAATCTGTATTTAAAACAGCTTCAAAGTCGTAAATTGGAAATACTTCCAAAGGCACTGTGCATATTGGTAGAGACAGCATAGTTTTAATAAAAAAAAACATGTGTTAGTACTTATATATAAAGTTTATTTAAATATCACAAAAAAATATTTCTACATAATTAAAGAAATGGACATTTTTTATTTTAAAATGTTGACTATGCTAACTTCAGGGTGTCGGTTTTTTATGACGGTGTGCGCGCGCATCGTAAAAAATTACTCTCATTATTTTTCCCTAACGCGCCAAAAGAAGTTAAACTTCAAAAACTATAGAATATTTTGATTTAAATCTGTACAACAATTATTTAATACATTTTAATATTAGAAATATAAGAAATCTTACCTCGAGAGAGCAGTATCCTAACATGGTTTCCATCCAGGTCAGCGACTGCAATGTAATCTTCACGCGCATCAGCAAAGTAGAGCTCTTTAGAGGCGTAAGACACGGTGAGGGCATTGGGCCAGCCGAGGTTCGTTGAAATGATAATTTTACGCTGCGAGCCGTCCATTCCAGCCCGGCCAATGTGTGGCTCACTGCCCCAGTCGGACCAGTACAAGCGGCCAACAGCTGGATGTAGAGCCAACGCCCGCGGCTCACGCAATCCACTGCGGATAATTACACGCCGGTGTAGTCCATTCAACTTTGCCGCTTCGATCGTGTCCGTTCCCTTATCGCACCAGTATACGTTTCCCGCGACCCAATCGACGGCCAATCCATCCGGATTTTGGAGCGTCGCACCGGCTACCACGGAATACTCGTCCGGGCGTAACGGAGTTGGCAGTGTAGGTGCAGGGTAAAACAACGGTGTTAGAGGAGTGTGTATGGCAGCAGGTCGACAGACGCGTTTAATAGAACTTCCGAGGCGGGTCACATCGCTCCAGTAGAGACAGCCACGTACCCATAACGCGTCCAGGGCAACAGCGTTCGTAAGGTTATGCACGAGTAGTGATGTGCTGGCCTCGCTTACGTCGTTGTCCAAGCGGAGGGCCGTACGGCGGATGTAGTACCGGTTCGTGAAGATCAGGGTCGCCTTTGTCGCTGTTGAGGGAAAGTTTATCATAAAATTCAAAGTTAAGATGAATTTTTAGATTGTTAGTAAATTACTCACATGATATAGGAATGCAGCTGACACCATCTTCCATAAGGCGATAGCCTGCCGTGCAGGAGCATTTGAAACTTCCGATGGAATTTCTAAAAGAGAAATCAATATATGTACTAACTTATTATTTAAGGGAAGAAAGCATTCCAGTTTTTCTATTTGTTTTGCTTTTTTTAACAAGGCACTATTGGACCAAATCAAAATGTATGCAAAAGTTCAAACCCAGGCTCTCAAATGAGCTGAAACACAAATGTGTTGAAATATTTTAATTAGAAAAACATAAGGGTTACCTGCAGCGATGTTCGCAGGGTTCATCCTCAGCGCACTCGTTCACATCCTGACATTCGGCTCCCCCTGCTCCGCTTCTCCTCCACCCTGGCTGACACCAACAGGCCCGGCCGACGGTTAGCTCCGAACAGTTGTGAGCGCATCCACCATTGCCCACTTGGCACTCATCTATATCTGCAAAGGAAATGATCTTCTATCTAACCTCTTCAACGGTTTAGCAGCATAAACAAGACATGTTTAGTCACACTATATGTCCATGGACAAAAATATTTTGGGGTAGACATGACCTGTCGCAATTTGAGAAAAACTTTGTGTGTTACATTACATACAATTAAATTGGCTATAGCGGGTCGGACCTGTTGTGAAACGATATATAGTCCTCACTAGCCGTTTCGCGCCCGCTTTGCTGGACGAATTAAAATAAATTTTATGTTTCATTATTTAATTTTTTTTCATATTTTTATTATTCTTCTTTTTAACTTCCCGCTAAGAAAATTGAAATATTTCGAAAATCGAGTTTTTAACAGATGTTGACGTTTAGAGGTTCTAGGAAGCCTCCCCGAATGTTTCCGCGGTGAAGTCCGTATGGATAAATTTTCATAAAAGTAAAACAGCAATAAAAAAATGAAGGAACGTTGGAAATAAATAAATAGCCATAAACCATCTAGGAAAAATTTCGCATCGAATGGTGGTAGTTTCATGTCGATACGATCAGTGGTTTAGGCGTGAAGGAGCCTCAAACGAAGACCATTTTTCTTTTATATATATAGATTATGCCTGCACTAAATATTCATAACTTAATACAGGATATATAAACATACATACAAAAACCTTATGTAAAAAGTATTTTAAAACAAACAGAGGAAACAGACTATTCACATTTCATTTGAACATTGACACGGCTGTTCTATACTTCAACTAATAGCTGAAAGTGAGTGATACACCAACAGCTCACAAGAATAATATTATGTATGTTATTAATGTGAATAGGTGTTAGTAGTATTTAAGATGTTTTTTAACAATAAATCAGATTTGAATTTTGCTGTCTTATTCATTTCTCGCTTCCTCTCAAAGTGGCGAAGACTACTTCAAGCCCTTAATTATCGAGGTGAGCCTACCCGATAGCTTGTACACAGACTTAATGGATAAAAATATTCAATACATATGCCCTCCAAACTCTTAGTAAAATACACTCGGCCCATCAATAGGCATGTTTCCACCCTGTTTAAATACAGATCTACGTACTACAATGTGTTTCGTCCGTAAAATCTCCGCACGAGTCCAGGCCGTCACAAAGTGCGGTTTGCAGAACACACGCGCCATTCCCACATCGCCACTCGCCGCGGCCGCACGTCCCGCGTGATACCGCCGCTTCTGCCTCGGAACCGAATTCTCGAGCGTATGATGCTGAAAAAAATATAGATTTTTATCTGTTTATAAATATTAGAGTTATTATGGATGTTAAATTTAGATATATTGTGTCCGTTTAAATGTGATTCGATGTTTTTTTAAACAACAAATATTAGATATACCTACTTAAGATATGCAACACCATTACGACCTCTAATAATGAAGAACGCAACTAATGAAAAGAAGATTACAGTTTATTTATTATTTATTTGTCGTAATAATGACTTTGCAATAGCTATATTGCTTGCAGACTGTTTAGGGCTATATTGACGTATGTCATGGGCAGGTTGGTCTTGTACTATAAAAGTTTTTAATATCAAAACCGGTTCTTCGGACCGAAAGAACCGGGAAACAAATTGTCATCAATTGATAATACATTTTGGTAAATTTTTATAGATAAACGGAGCGTTGTATAATTGTACGGTTCCTGGATGATGCATTATATAATAGAGAATATTATGACTATATATTAATCCCTCACGTACGACTTTTAAATGCTAATTAATTAAATATTAATGAATGCTTATTACATGAAATACTATGCTTATAAATTGCAGGGGCGTCACTCCAACGATTTGAACTAAGAAAGCCTGAGTGAGCAAAATGTACAAGCCTTGGCTCGAAGAATAATATTAAAAAAAAGGTAACTTCTTGAGTTGTATAGTAAAAATGTTAACTTACAACACATAACCGGATCTTCATCAGAGCCAGCTCCGGATCCACCGCTGTCGAGACAGTGATCCCGCCCATCACATTGCAATGCGGGTGGGACACACCGGCCTGAACAGTAAATAGCGCCTGGTTCCACACACATAAGAATCGCTTCTGATTCTGTTACGTTATCTGTGCCATTTATCGGATCTGGTGTACCCAATGGGTCTGGAGTACCCGAGACGGGAGTTGAACGAGCTGAACAACCCGGAGGCTCATCTGATCCGTCTTCGCAATCCGCATCTCCATCGCAGTATAAACTCTGGTAATTATTTAAAAATTTATTAACAATTAAAAGAAAAGGTTGCATATATGGCGTATATAGCAATTATCATAATTTTATATAAGGTTTTTTATGTTAACAAACTACTCACGGCTAGCAGACAGACAGCGGAATGTGCGCAGCGGAAGGAGCCCGGTGCGCATGCGCAGCGTCCACCAACACATTCTGAAGTTACGTTACGGCTTCCTAATGTAACAAACGATCAAAATGTTTTAGAAACAAAATGCATATTTATACGCGGTTCTCACATATTTTTGGAAGCGTAGTTGTTTTTTTTTTTTTGTTATTTTAATATTACCTTTACAAATATTCAAGAAGTGAATCAGATAGTAATAAAAATGCCTCTACTAACCTATAAGCACCTTATGCTATTAAAATTTACGAAAATATTAATAAAGTTAAAACTTCATAGTAAACAAAAAAATCTCATGATTGTTCGTTATATATTATATAGTACCTAAGTCATAAATTCGATATAACTACATAAGAACAAATAGCAGAAGAAATAATACAATACAGCGAGGAAATGCAGCCAGCGTTAAATATAGCCACAGGGACCAAACTTTTTAAATTTGTTTTAATTTTGTATTTATTCATTTTTAATTATTAACTGTGTAGTTTAAGAAAATTGTAAAATACTGTATATTAGTCTGAAGTATAAAAACATTTAAATATTTAATAAAATTAAGGTAGGTAAAAAAATAACAAGAAAGAAGAATCAGAAGAAATTCATCAAACAACTTACTGCAATGTGAAGCCTCATCTGATCCATCAGTACAGTCCAGACGTCCATCACACAACCAGGCAAGGGGAATACACTCCACGGCCCCCGCACCGCCACAACGATGCTGGCCTGAATGGCACCCCAACAACGGCTGGGTGTCAAAACCCTGGTTTGATTCGAAGGATATTGTACTTCCAGCTGGACAATCGGCTTCATCGCTCTCATCTGCGCAGTCGAAGTGGCCATCGCATCGGGATGAAGGTGGATAGCAGGTGCTGCCAGAAAGGCAGCGCAAGGAGCCAGATCGACAGGTGTCAGCTCCGCAGCCGGCTTCGTCTGATCCATCCGCGCATTGTGCAGCACCGTCGCAACGTGCAGATGCAGATACGCACGCACCATCAGCGCATCTATTTTTTTTTTTGCATTTGAAAATGTTTCGTACCCAGTTTTACCATAATTTTTGTATTTTAAAAAGGCACACTAACGAAATACATACATACAATTATAGGTAACACACGACATACTAAACACATTTAAAGGGAAACAATACAATTAATAAAGAAAAAAAATTAACGACAATAAATCAAATTAAGATTTACAAATATAAAATCAATGTTTTGTAGGGATGTATTGCGACAATAAACTAACAGCTTCTTCCCGCGCGCAATAAGCTATCAGCCACTAATGTCAGGAAATGCTCGGACTAATAGGGAAATGATCTGATCGAGTCAATTTACCGTTAATTGTTATTGTTGCATTGGTTAATCATTGAGATTTCTCCTATTTAATTTATTGTGATTGGTTTTGTTATTATTTAATAGTTTGGAATAATAATAATAATATTGATTGAGTATCCAGTGGAGCATTGATGTGGTGTGAGATGATGTGATGAGAGGTTGGACCGAGTCGGGTCTGGTACGTTGTGATTAAAAGTGAGATATGTGTTATTTGAAGTGTTTGAAGGAATCAATCTTAATTCAATACTGCACGTGAATGATTTGTGTCTCTTGTGCTCGCACTTTACCCACATGTCTATTAAACCCGCTGACAATGTCAATATCGATGGAGTGACGATATTTCTCCGACATATACACATAAAAAGCTTATATGCTCACTTGTACTGATCAGAGGCGCAGTCGCAGTCCCGTTCGTCGGCTGCGTCATCACAATCTGCATGGCCATCGCAAACACGTGACGCAGGAACACACCGTCCACCTGCCCCACATGACATTGTGTCCTCGGGACACGTACGGGATGCTGGACGAAGTTATACATTGATAAAACTTTAATAGATAGAACATGTTGAGCGAATATGATTAGTATAACAATTCCTTGGCCTAATTGCACCCTGCTTCAGAGTTATTAAGCTATTGGATAGCTTCTATCGCGGGCCTTGAGCGTGGAGACCGAATCCAGAAATTCCGTAACGAAAATAACCTAACACATGATGGCGTAACGTGACGTCTCACATCGGGTGCAGCCGGTACGCGTTAGAGTGAGACAGACTATATAGGCGTGTTAGTCTGAGTCTGGTAGAGTGGTAGATTATGGAATTAATATCTAAGAATAAAAATACTGCATAAATAAAAAAATAAAAAAAATTATAATTGAATAAGTTGACAAAAAATGCTATGCAATAGCTTTACCCGGAGTGCCACACATTTTATTTTATTTGAATGGCGTCTTTATTGCATTGTGCTAAGGTTTATTTTACAATGCACAAAAATGTGAAGTTATATCTTGCCTGACGGTCATGATCATGAGGGATGATAATAGTCTGAAAGAGGCAGTGAGAACAGTGGTGTTAACGATTTCTTTATATCTGTACGGTTCCCGAGTCATCGCGGTGCTTTAAATAAAGAAGTTTAGTTTTACTCTATATTAACCATTCACGAACAACAATAGAATATAAGCGAAATAATGAAATGTTAATTGCTATGTAACGAATGAATGCAATGTAACTGTTGAAGATAGTGTTTAATGTTTAAAGAACTTTATTTCTCATTACAAAAATTATTTTTTTATTTACATGAGAAATTTAATATTAAGTATATATACGAACGAGATACACGTCGCCATCAGCTAGCCCAATTCTAGTCTAATGGGCCCATTCTGATGTGTGTCTTTAATGCCCTTTTGAACTGATCAATCACGCTAATGTTACGAAGCTTAGACGGCAACCGATTAAACAATTGCACACCCTCATACCTAATAGATCTCTTTAAATAATTTGTGCGCGGCTCTGGCAAGATAAGCAAACTCGCTCGACGAGTATTGCGTGTAGTGGTGTATTTGATTTTATTAAATGATAAGTTACTATGTAGAGAGTTATTTAAAATTTTTTTAATAAGGATACAGGTGCTATAAACATATAGTTGTTTAATCGTCATAATTTTAGTTTCTTGGTAGATTTTATTAGTAGGTGTTAAAAAATTGTATCTGAATAGTGCTTTTATTAATTTATTTTGTAGTGTTTGTATTGTAGAAATTTTGTTTTTGCATGCTGTACCCCATATTTCAATTAGGTATATGAAATGTGGCTTGACTAAACAATTATAGATCAAATGACGTACAGATTGCGGAATGCATTTAGATATTGACCAAAATCTGCCTATAAGTGATTTTAGTTTGGTAATTATGTGTGATATATGAAAGTTCCATTTTAAATTTGTATCCATTCTAAGACCCAGATATTTCTCCCATTTTTTGTTATTGATTTCAACGTCTTGAACTTTAAGCGGTAATAGTGCCTACGTCTTTCTATACTTTTGGGGCGTAACTCCGATGATTTAGGTAATCGCAACTCTTATACAACTAAGAAAGCCTGAGTGAGCAAAATATACAGCCTTGGCTCGTACTATAATATCAATTGTATATTTTTGCCGATTAAAGAAGTCTAGTACAAACATCAGTGTAACGCTTAAATGAGTTCTTTAACATTCTACATGAGCGAAATCAGAGCAATTTGTTTAATACAATTGCTTTGAACTATTAAATTATCACTTACTGCAATAGTAAATATCTTCATCGCTAGCATCAGCATCGGGGCTGCAATGGTTAACGCCATCGCACACAAGTTGAGCAGGCAGGCAGGCACCTTCAGCACAAGCAAACATATCGTGTGGGCAGACGTCAAGAGCAGGATGACACGCACGTCCATCGCGTGCAAGTACGCGACCGTTTTCGCACGCGCACGTAGCGTGCCCATTAGCTGATATCTCACAAAGCTCTGCGCATCCACCATTCATTACTGCGCATGGGTCTAATGAACCTGAAATAATTACAATTATATACAGACTATAGTAAGTGATTGAAATAATTGTATAGTAAAACCTCTTTTAATTTTAAAGTTCTATTAAAAATGTTTTACAAAACGAATATAAAATTATTAACTAAAAGTTTTGTAATAGTTCGACACATAGATTTACAATTGACTTTAGATTTTAATACTAAATAATCATGGCACTTAAAATTAATGTCAAAATGAAAAGCAGTTAGTTCAATAAATATAAATTTGGCATAAAGTTACTTTGCTACCTAAATTGAAACAAGACTTAAACTTTTCTCATTTATTGAATTCATATTCAATAAAAATAAATACGTACATTGATGGTGATTGGGAGCTATGAGCACTATCCCACAAGGTCTTGGCAGGTCACGACGTAGCGTACGTGCAACTCCGGACCGTCTGTCCGCCCTTAACACGCTGCGTGACACCCAATCTGTCCAAAACACGTATCCTCCCCCCACTGCTATAGCGTACGGGTGTTCGCTACGGGCGCGTGTCACTATCTGTTGTTAAATGAAAAAGTGATTGTTTATGTAGAAACGAGGAAGTTTTATAGAAAGGGTATTTCAAAAAAAATACTATTATTATTACTACATTAAACTTTAAATATTAATATTTAATAATAATTTCCTCGATCGATAGGCATCATGATTGGGTAAATAAACACAAAACTTCACCACGCTGCAGTTTTTTAAAGCCTTGCCTAGTCTAGTAGTCAAGTGTGTTTAGAATTTGCTTACTTAGTGTTGGAAAAAGTGAGAATAATATTACTTATTAGCTAAGTATATATGCTAGAATTAATATATATTTTTCATTGTCATAGGTACAAAAATATGTTTACAGAATGAAACTTACCCGTCGATGCGATCCATCATATCTGGCGCGTTCAATCTTATCTAAACGTGCATCGGCCCAATAGAGTAAGCGTGCGTCGTGTTCGAGTGCGAGCGCGTTGGGCATCAGTATGTCCGTCGTTATGACGTCAGATGCGCCACGGCCGGTTGAATGCACGCGAGAAATACGCGGACGCTTTTCGTTCCAGTTTGTCCAGTACACACGGCTGTAACAGGGTATAGTTAAATGCTTATTTTATAATTAAAAGTTAGTTTTAGTTTAAAACGCGTAGATAAAATTTGAGGCTTAATTTCTGCGCATCAAGTTTGCCTTTTAGGTACATGGGTCGAAAATTAAAAAAAAAAACCTATCAGAATATGAACATAGACATCATATATTATAATTTATATGTAAAAGAGTGTGTCTGGTTTACCGTACACATCTAAATAAGTACTAGTCCAATTTAAACTTTTTTATTATTACTTAAAAAATTTAGACAATTTTATTTAAATTTAGTAAATATCATACTTTTGAAATAACTACATATATATTCAACATCAACCTAAATATATATCATCCATATATACGTGATTGACGTTGTTTTTAAAAACAAATCTCTACATACTGTTCGCAAGGATCGTAATCAATAGCTCGTGGTCGATCAGCGGTCGTCAACTGTAGCAGTGTGCGTACAAGGGCAGGTCGATGTGCTGGTGCAGCCTTTCTTAATTCTGCCAACTGCGCTGAGCGTATCGCCCCGCACGACGCGCACGTCCAATACAACGTACCCGTCGTCAATGATACTACCATGCCTTCTACAGCTCCACATTCTGAAATTATAGGGCTAATTAATAAACAAATCTATGAAAGAAATAGGAAATGGCTTAGTTTTTATGCCTAATGAAGCTAATATGTTGTCTATGGTAAATTGTGTTTTCTTGCAATCAAGGTCGATTCTCTTTGAAATTTTGCGAAGTAATTAAGTAGAACTAATGTCATGTAGTACAAGAAGTACTAATAATGTTCCTAATACATGTAAACGTAAAAATTCTATGGAGTGAGTAGATCTATTTAGACGTATTTATCTACTAAATGGGCGGGGCACATGGCAAGAGGAACAGAAAAGTCGAGTAAAAAAGTACTAAACTGGTGCCCAAGGTACAGAAAACTAAAAAAAAGGAAACGACTTAGAAGGTGAATAGACCAAACAAATTCAAGAAACAGGAGGTGGTACATGGCAGAGTGTGGTACAGTGAAGAGAGGAATAGTGGGATTTGAAGGAGGCCTTTGCTAAAAAAAGCACACAGATACCTAAAAGAAGATTGAAATAGGGTATTATTAATATATTAAATTAAATTATCTTATAAAGAATTATGTTATAAATTATTTTAATCAGACGGTATACGCGTTCTCAATAAGAGTATTTAAAATATTAACGCAAGTAAATTGTGACAATTTGCTAAAAGATAACAGAAGCTACTTACTGTCAAGCAATACTGAATGTCCGGAACCGTTGAAATGGACAATATTGATAGAGCCGCGTTGTATGTCGGAATATAGCAAAGTTTGCGTTTCATACTCGTACGCCAAAGCGATCGAATTTCGCATGAGAGTCCTAAAAAAAAACAATGAATATTAATAAAAGTGTCTAAAACATGTCTTCAGGCGTAATATGCTGCAGCCAATGTTGATAATTGCAAAGTTGAAAATTATTGTTTTTTTTTTGTAAATTGCATGTTTGTATTTTTTTTTAACTTGTTTGTTTTTTACTTTTAATGTTGAAGTTATTTTCCCTTCATCATTGTAATGTTTCCCTTTAAATGTTGTGCACACTTGTTATTGATGCACATGCATGTATCTTGTTTTCTATGTTATGTGTTCTCTGTAAGTGTTTGTATGTTTCGTTAGTGTGCCTTTTGAAATAAAATAAAAGAAACAATCTGAGTGAAGACAATTGTGTAATATTTAAAATCAATTAAATTGGCGTGAATAAAGCTGGTTACAGTATGTTTGTTACGGAATTAATTTGAATAATCTCTAAACAAAAGAAAGGTAGACCAGAAATAGGTTTAAAAAGTATGTGCCAGAGTAACAAAAAATACTAACTTGTTTTCAATAGGTGGATAGGGCGAATTAAGATTGTTCTCATCCTGAAGGTGTATGCTGTCTATCTTGGACACGCGTGCGTACATTATAAATGACGAATACGCTGAAACAAAAACATACAAAAATTAAAACCTTGCCGTGTTCGTTGACATCCAATTTATTAATTCATAAGACGGATTAATAAGCTAACAAAAACTCAAAGGGAAACTGTTGCGTCAATTAGGACTATTACATTTTTTTACAGAAAAAAAACAGTAATTTTTTTAAATTTATTTTAAATTAAATAAGTCCTCAAGAATAAAAAAAAATTACATACACTATAAAATATATATTAACCAATATAAGCAAGATTGTTTTATTTGAATTCCCGTGAATTGTATTTGCATCTTTATAGCTTTGGGTTTAAGTGTATTATGTACGTAAATTTAACTTATATCAATAATTGTTTCTAGGTACAAACAAATCCATAAGGATTGTATGTACGGCTTTTCTGTTGTAAAAATACTAGTTGTATGCGGACAAAAAATATCTCAATAAAAATTAATTAAGTAAATACTCACGCTTGCACGTCTTATTGTCTGAGGCCAGATCTCCGTGCGGACACGCACAACGGGCCCGTGATCCGTCCCATAGACAAAGCGCCTCGCAACCACCGTAACCAGATGACATTGCGCATCCATTTGTACTACTCGATACGCTTTGGTTCGCACTTGACCAAATCTGAAATAAAAAAAACACATAATTTTATATAAGCTAATTTCAAAATACGTGTGAATTACGTAAATATTTTACACTTGTAGAAGTGTTAAACTCGATACGATGCGACGTGTTTTTCATTTAATTTTACACATTTTTTTCAAACAAGGTACTATATATACTTTTAAGTATTAACATTACATTTCTATAAGTAAAAAAATTAATTTATACTCACCACAAGATCTTTGAGACTGTCTCCAACATTGTCAACTAGCAAAGTGTAATTCTTCAAATTGGAGATCGGCGCTCGCGCAGCGCTACCGTGAGCTAACGTCCTGTAATTAAGTTTAATATCTATATTTCTATCAAAAAAGCTATCTCTAAATTAAAAATTTATACCCATAGGTCATTATATTTCTTTCCTGTCTGTCTAAATTCAAAGTATTTCGTCTCTTTTACTGTATTAATATTTTATTTGTTAGTAAAAAAATCTTATCCAAAAGGTTTGTTCGTCACGTACGAATTTGGAGTATTAAAATTAAAAGCTCACGTGTCAAGCCAGTACAGATGTCCAGCAGTAACTGCTATAGCGACTGGTCGATGAAGAGGTGCACCACGCCATACTCTGCGTCGAACACCACCAGAATATGGTACGCACCATACTGACGGTTCATCCCACCATTCCACCCAGTATACCATCTCGTTCTAAGGACACATTGTAAATGATGTGTATTACAAAATGACGTAGAGGAAATCCGATGGCAGAATAATTGATTAAGATTCAGGGACTATGACGTACGTCAAACAGGAATACAATTTTAACAAACGGATGTAGTCTACGCGCTAAGTTGTGACTTTTACATTTGACATATTAAAAGCTCAATGATACAGAACCTGTGGTCACTATCAATTCGAAAAATTGTTGAATTAGTAAATTAATAAAATTAAATATCGTTACTCATATAGGTTACCAAGTACACTTATGAACGTCAACAGAGATGTTAAATTGATTTTAAATTTACATTTCTTAAAAAGAGATTCGATTAAAAAGAGTGGCAAGAAACTCTCCGCCACTCTTTTTAATCGCTTATACGATCATAGTAAACATATTTCGAACCAAATAAAACAAAGTCAAGTCATGTTCTATTAGCAAAATCATTTCTAAAATTTATTCGTTCATTGCATTGTCATCGCTATTGCAAAATATTATGGTCTATTTTACCATGCAGACCAATATTGCTGTCGTAGTAAATCCTGAAATGAATTCGTATTAAATGTTTCGTGTGTGTGTGTGTGCGTATGTTCGTTATATGTTTTACCTCAGTATCAATTGCAATATGAGCAACGGCGGTCCCATTGTACAGCAAAGCGGGATCTGATGCGTCAGGTCTGGCCCGTTGTATCCACCCTCCTCCCGACATGAAAAGCCAGCCACGTGCCGCGTCAACCGCCAAGGCTAAAGGACAATATTTAAAATTAGAAACATCTTTTAACATCTCTAGAAGCTTAAATTGGAAATTTTTCTACTAAATCGTCAGTTACGTTTTTTTTTTAACAGGTGACAAACGGGCAGGAGGCTCCCCTGATGTTAAGTGATACAGCCGCCGCCCGTGGACAGCCACATTGCCAGGAGGCTCGCAAGCGCGTTGGCCTTTTAAGAAATGGTACGCTCTTTTCTGAAGGACCCTAAGTTGAATAGGTTCGGAAATACTTCAGTGGGAAGCCGGTTCCACATAGTGGTGTGGTGCGCGGCAAAACTTGCCTTATGAAACGATCCGTTGTGGAACGACGGACGTCGAGGTGATACGGATGGTATTTTGTATTCTGCGTTGACATCCGACGACTCAAAAGTATAGCCAGACTCTTCAGTATTTTCATCACATAGCATTTCATTTAGTATCCATTTCATAGTAACATTTAATTACTTAGAATTTATTCTTTTGCTGTACGTGACTGGTTAATATAGAGTGAAAATAATATCCTTTTATTATTTAAATCATCCCATTCACAGGAACCGTACTAACGTCATATTACAATATAATTTATTAATATACAGTTTTTTAACTTACTAGTAGCAACAAATGGGTCCGTATCCTTCAATACATATCGATGTGACCCATCAAGCCGGGCAACCATTAAAAGCGCTCGTGCTGGGTCACTCCAATACAAGTTCCCCGCTAACCAATCCACGGCCAGCGCCGCTAAAGAGTCTCCCCCTTCTTCATTCCCTCCTTCCGCCTGCTGAAGTACCCTCTGGCGTTTGGAACCATCTCGTTGGACTCGCCACACCGCTCCTGCTTCTGGGTCCGCCCAATATAACCACTCCTCCTCTGCGAAATGGTCAGTATATATAACTAAACAAATCTTTTGGACCATTGTTTCATATTTTATTAGCATTTGTTCATTAGAAATATACCGTATTACCAAATTTAAAGAGCATTGAAGGCACATGTTCTGAGCTCGTAATAAAGTTAAGAATCAAATCTTTTATTACATTGAATGAAATTCTTAAGTAAAAATATGTTTCATTTTTTATTGATAATAAATATTGCAACGTTTATCAAAACAATTGTTTTGTGGGCTACCAAAAGTTTTCGAGCAAAACCATTATGCGCATAGAGAAGAAAACAGCATTTACATAAACATAGGGACACACTAAAATATTCCAAATATTAACTAAAAATAATTGTTTCAAAGGTTTTTCGTTCTGAAGGTATACGTACTAGCGTAATAGTCGATAGCGGCGGCGGAAGTGACCTGTGGCAGAGGCGTCAGGGCATCTTCAACTGAACCCGTCAGGGAAACACCTCGTAGTTCCCAGCTTAGTGAGTAAATTAATGCAGGTTCGATAGCTAAGGAAAAAACACAAGTACATTGTTACACTTGCTAAATAATTCAAAGCTAAAACAATGTTATTTTAATTGCTTCTGATACTAAACTACACTTTCACTTCACTGTACTTTATTTTTTTACAATTTATAAAAAAATTGAGTAAGAAATAACAAAAGTGAATTGAATGAAAATCCTTAATGAAAAGTCTTGGATCTGAATCATTATAACAAATAATGTTAAAAAAATGTAAATTGCAGATCCTAAGAGAAAATAGAGAATCCCTCCAAAATAAAACAATGTCTAAAATTTAAGGTAAAAGAAACCCCAAAAACTTACGTGTACAAGTAGTTCCGTTCTGGCGATATCCCAGAGCGCAGCGACATACTGATTTAGTACGCGACACGGGCAAACACAAGTGCGCACATTGTTCTTTTGGTCCACGATTCGCGCACGCGCTTTTGGAGCTTATATTTTGCGCACTCGCATCGTATACGCGCAGTGATATCACGCCATCTGTATAGTATTGAATCGTTCAATCGCGTGATAAAAATGTACTGTAATATCGATAGAAGTACCCTCAGTAAAAACTGACGAATCGTACGTTTAATATGTTTAAAATGACTCAACACTATTAAATTTAACATAGAATAAATATATAAATCAAATAATAATATGGTATATAACATATACCATAGATAATATAGCTGCTAACATGCATTGACTATAGTTGTGTTGATTTCGTGAATTATTTAAACTATTTGGAGAATACAATATGTATTCTATATATATATGGGCGGATGCCCTTTTATCATAGGAATCAGCCAGGTCTTCAATAAGTTGTAATGTGGGTAGGAACAAAAGAATCACCAAAGGCACAATCAAAAGTTATTAAATCACATAAAGTATCTCCCTTACAGCAATTCACTAAAATCTATTCACTAGTAATTAGGGAATCACTTAATCAATTACTTTTAATTTGTTTTAAAACAACACGGCACAAGATTACTCGGAACAAAAGCGATTCGTCGCAAACGTGGTGCGCTCGCCGTTGACATTCGAAAAAACTAAACAAAATTCAACATGGCCGCGCTGACCATCGACACGACGCTCCGCCAGACTGACAATTGTCAAATCTCGTTCCAACGTATTTCTTAACAGATGGCGCTAGGTATGCGCCGTCATATATTATGTAATAATTTCACTTAAACGACATACCAGTATTATTCCGGAGTATACGTAATTTTGCACAATCTCGTTGGGCACAGGCTATAAGTGCGCCCGTAGCCGAATCCGCCCAAATGATTTCGCCCGCGTACACCTCTACGGCAGTTGGACGTGCACCCATCGGTAGCGCTAACTATAACGATAAAAACGTAATACCTTTTCTCTATTTCTATCAGAAAAGAGATAGATGTGTTTTGTAATGCTAAAAATTACAATACAAAGAGTAGATGAACTTATCGAGTTTCAAATAAAAAATGTTATTCGACAATTAACATAATCTTACTCTTTGTACAAAGATGTTTGTTAAAATTTAAATCTAAGTCTGGGCGCTGATAGAAATGTTATATATATTTTATTTAAATTTATCACGAATAAATTTTTTCATTTCTTTTTTAATGAATGTTATTTTTCTTAAAAATCAGAAGAGATATTAAGGTTAGTAAGTTCGTAAGGTATACGTACGAACGTGTCATGCGTACCTGAACAATATGTTCATCAATTACAATATTGTTCCGAAGTTTTAGTTTACATTTTCGCTGAATAAATAAATAATATAGTAAACTATAAAAAACTAACCGTAGTCGCCTTGTTTGTTTTTAGATCCAAATACTGAATACTGGCTGATGCTGTGTTCACCCAATACAATAAATCCTTATCAACATCTAGGGTCATACTCGTAACGCCTGCGAGGTGGGCATCGTTGTTAGAGTCGATCAACACACGACGCTGGCTGCCATCACCCCTTGCGCTCTCGATACGTTCACCTCCGTTAGCCTGCGCCGCCCAATAGATGTCGCCCGTGTGCGGGTGCGCTGCTAGGGCACTTACGTTAAACTGTTCAGCGTATAAAGGCGTAAGTCGCTCACCACGTAGACCGGCCACAGCGAGCGTGTTACGTGCGCATAGGTACAAAATCCGCGCTGACCATTGTACTGCAAGTGCACGCGGCTGTGATACCCCACTATCGGCGATAACAACGACGTTACCGCCTCGCACGTCGGCTCTTTTAATCTCATTTGTATCTGTGTCTGCCCAGTACACGGCGTGTTCGGGAGTGAAAACTTGTAGAGATGCGGGCGTGGTTAATTGCGGCCCAGCCAATGTGGGCGCTACTTGTGCTAAGGCGCCTGCTAGAGCAAGACCGCGTACAGCCCCGCTCACGCCTACCAGCAATAGTTGTTTTTCCGCTGGAAAGAATAAAAATCATGAAACACAGAGACCTAAACTAATCAGACAATTACACAGAACATAACAAATTAAGACGCTCTTAGAATTACGGCGGACTCTCGATAATTTGAATTTTTTTCCGGTCCCTGAAAAATACTCGATAAATTGAACAAAATCTATGTTAATTTGAAGTTGAAGGAATCTTGCTCGCCAGCGTGTGCCGTGTGCGTGTCCGTCAGTATGTAATTTGAAGTCCGGGCTTCCCTACTCTCTATAATTTAAAGTGTTTATCATGCAGTTGCAGCTCCTTACAAACGTTGCAGTTGTGTAAAAAAAAAACATGGCGATTAAAAAGAGTGGCGGAGAGTTTATTGCCAGTTCTTCTCTTCCGTTCTACGCCCTTGATTTGAGAACTGGCACTAAATGTAAAGTTAGAAGCATTTCATATACATTTATTTTTTTGACGTTCATAAGTGTACATTGTTACATATTTAATTTTTAACACATAATAATGTAGGAATAACAAATCACGAATTTTGATCAAACTCTTATTTATTTGAGTCGAAATCGTGGGTATTTAAACGCTTGTGATTTTGAATTCTTGATAATTTTAAATTTATCTCTGGTCCCTTGAGTTTCAAATTATTGCGAAGCGACTGTATTTTGAATAAAATATTAAAACAATATCATTCAATAAATAAACATGAATGTTACCTTCACAAGTAAGATTGTCAGCAGTAAGCCTCATTAAGTGCGGACATGCGCAGACGCGTTGTTCGGGTGTATCTATGAGACAAAGGTGAGAGCAATTCCCGTTGTTGACGCCGCATGGATTGATGAGATTAGCCGGCTGCCTACTGGGGTGAATCACCTGTAATAATTTGTTTTAGATTCATTAACATAACAAAAATTAAATATTCCACATTTATTTCATTATTTTAGAATTAACCCGGTTTATTAGGAGCCATATTTTTTGGGACTAACTTTGATATATTATACATTCGTTGAATATTTAAATAGGATTTGTGTGAAGAACATTAACTAACGATTTCTTGCGGACGACTCTAACTTGTTTTACATACCACACAATTTATATCCTGAAATTCCAGGACTGATCCCTACTTTAGGGAGATTCATATTAAATAGTATCATTAATTTAGGGAGCAGGGCCGGATTAATTAAAAATTCTAGCCCCGATTGCCCTCCCCTAAATCCGGGCCAGTTCAAGTATTACGTAACAATATTGGGGGGTCTCGTAAAACGTTACGTTTCATTGGCGGGTTTGAACTAAGCGTTAGGTAACATTATTTTCAATAATAAACGCGTAAACAAAAACAAAGGTCTTTGACTTTCTGGAACTTAACGCCACATAATTGATGATCACATAACGTTTCACTAAGGCAAAGGAGTAGAGAAAAATAAAGTTAACCCACCTTAAGGTCAAAAGGCTGAGTTAGAGTCCGCTGTACGACGGTAACATCAGACCCGTTCCACTTATTGGCACGCACGACGCTGTTACTTCGCCAATCAGTCCAATACACGTGCGATTCAAACACGGTGACCGCAAATGGGTGTGACAAGGCCCCGTGCCCGCGTAACACTTCGCGTATGTCCTCGCCCGCGTACGTAACCGTATGTATGGAATCTGAGCGTGCGTCGATCCAATAAAGTCTCTCTGCACGGTGGTCTAGAGCGATTCCGTTAAGCCATGCGCCCTCGCCCGTTGATTCGACGCGTACTATACGTTTACGATCGCGTCCGGCTAGTGTTGCACGTTCGATTCGCGGCGCACTTTGTTCCCAATCGCTCCAGAAGAGAAAACCCTAAAAATTTACGATATGTATATGATTTAAAACTAATAATATAAATCAGTAAATTATTTACAGTGTTCCCTTAAGCCTGCTACTCAGAATCTAAGGCATGGCCAGTAGCATAGTTCGAATCACCGACTCGTGAAAGCATCGTGAAGACACCGGCATGCCTCAGACATAAAAATCGGTGGCGTGTGTCAGTCACTAAAGGCTGATCACTTATTTGTCTATTGTATATTTCCTTCCCTTAATCAAAGGAACGAACAAATTCCTGCGGATACCGTTAACCATTTGGTGATAACGTAATAATGAATTCTGCCCAACCGAACTATTGTTTCCCCGTACATTAAAACTTAGAACCTTTTGGTTCAAAGTGAGGAAGACTACTTCAAGCCCTTAATTATCGTGGTGAGCCTGTCTGATAACTTTGTGATAATCCCACCACCTTAAACTTTTGTTCCTACCCGTAGGGCTCCGTCTGTTACCTTAGGTCTCTTGGTGCAGACATCCCGTACTTATGTGTTATACACTATTTATGTGTTAGGGTACGTCATATGTCTCACCCTCTCATATATTTAGTTATCTAGTACAGCTTGCTCACACATACACTAGATATACTATACAGATACTCCTAACATTTAATAAATATAGTTTTAAACATACATTTCACAGTCAACTGGAAAGGTGTACATACACATGTGTGTTAATCAATTATTATTTGTATATAGTTTAGTTTTGTATTATACAAACTGCGAAACAAAAATAATACATATAAAATATAACGTTGATTTATATATCTAAATAAAAGTCTAGCCACGATACATTAGCTGTCAGAAAATAATACCTTAGTAGGATCGAGCGCAATAGCTCTGGGGCTATCCATATCACCGGCGAGCAGAGTCCGTCGATGCTGGCCATCAGCTCTTGACACTTCTATTTGATGGAGACCGCTTTCCACCCAGTACAAATTACCAGCCACCCAGTCCACAGCTAACCCTTCAGCCGTCAACAAACCCCTCTGAACTACTGGTGTGATGTCTCCAAGTGCATTGTCAACTATAGTTCCCCTGTATATAGTATCGTCAACCGCGTCCGTCCAGAAAAGCTGAACCCTTCGTTCTGGTCCCGCCAGTCGCCAATCGAGGGCTATAGTGTTCTTTAGAGCAGAGACTAGCGCGCGTGAGGCTAAAGAGCCAAGTTCTACCGCGCGCAGTTCGTGCCTGTTGCTGAAGACTAACATAGCGCTGGTGCTCTCTGCGAAATGGAAAAATCATCAAATAAATATCCATTTTTCATTTTACTGTCTACTTATAGTCTAGTCGACAAGTTGAAAATGGTACAAAATAGAGATACTGCTCTTAAAATTATGTACGATAGCTCATTGGATCCGGAATGACGTCTAGAAAAATGTGCCAAAAGCGTGTATTAGCACATAAAAAATTGCAAGTTATAAACAATTAAAGATGAAAAAAAAATGCCATTTCGTTTTTTACCAATATTTAATAAACTATTAATATTTAAGAAATTTCAAGATTCTGAAAGAGGTGGAAATTTCCAATAAAAATCTCCTAACTCCCGGAACTCTATCTCCATTATTTATAATTTTAATTTAACGCTGAAAATAGGTCTGCGTGTGACATTTTTAGGATGCGCGAGCGGCGTCAAAAGCGAGTACGGCACATTAATTAATTTATTTAAGGTATTGAATATTTTTTTTTTAATTTGAAAAAATTATGCTGTGTTCTGAACACTATAATTAATTTATTCCCGTTGGAAATTTTACTTAAAGTTAATTTTTCAACAAGTTAAACAATTGTTAACTAACGAAATTTTCTCGAACTTCCGTCTTAATTGTAAGTGAAAAAAATGGTCGTAAAAAATTTTCGCTTCGTAGAGCCTTTCTTACATGCATACTTAACAAGATCGTGCCATAAAAGTTAAAAAAATATTTATACTTTATAAAAAAAATTTTTACTTTAACAACATTACTTGAATTTTTTAGTTTTTATGTACACGCGTTAGAAGTTACATACTTCTTTGGCGTAACAATATAAAAATCTTTTTACAAATATTATCTTTCGCCTTATTCTAACGTTTGTAGAAAAAACGTTTTTTTGTGACGGTGTGCGCGCGCATCGTTAAAATTTACTCTCATCATTTTTCCCTAACGCGCCAAAAGAAGTATAACTTCAAAAATTTAAATTTAAATGTACAAATTTATAACTAGTTCCCAAATTAAGGGAGAAGAAGTGGCGAGAACTGTAAAGAAACTCTACGCTCTTCTACTCGCCCAAATTTTTGGTTTACATGGAAATAGAGCCTTAAGAATGTGTGATAAGATATATCTGTATGTATTCTCAATAGACAATTAGACTAATTTCAACATTTCAAATCAAATCGGCAAATTTATCTATGAAGTTAGTTTATCTGTAGTGACTCTTTTTAGATATTTTTATCAGTCACCTGAAAAGGAACAATGCATGGATGGATACCAAAACTACTGAACTGGACTCTCAAAAAATACTAAATCGATTTTGAAACTTGGACTTCCCTAAGTTAGAACAAAAGTCAAGAAACTTTTGAAATGACAAACTCATAAATAAATATTAACATATTACTGAACGAAAACGGACAACCCTTTTTTTTAAGTCGGTAAATATATGCATAGGTGATCATTTCCATCTTCACTAATCATACCTGTACTTTTACACGTAAATCCATCATCAGCTAGCCGATATCCCTCATAGCAGGTACAGCGGTATCTGTTCTTCTGCGGCTGACACGTCTGACTGCAAACGCCCCACTCTTCGCACAAGTGGTTAGGCGCACATGTCCGTCGGTCACGTTGTAAGTGCAAGTGAGGTGGACACGTACAAGCAGGCCCACTGGGTGTTGGCTGACAGGTATGGGAACACGGGCCGTTCGCCACACACATTGGTTCTCCTAAATAATTGAAGTAGTAATTAATAAAATAATTAATATTTTGATTCCTTAGCGATGCGTAGAGGGGACTCTCTGCATTTTCTACCGCATTTACCAAGTTCAAGTTTCATAATTCGGAAATCAAGGCAGAATACAAAATACCATCCGTATCACCTCGACATCCGTCGTTCCACAACTGAGCGTCTCTTAAGGCAATTTTTGCTGCGCACCACCAATATGTGGAACCAGCTGCCATTTAAGTATTTTCGAACCAATTCGACTTAGGGTCCTTCAAGAAAAAAGCGTACCAATTCTTAAAAGGCCGGCAACGCACTTGCGAGCCTACTGTCTATGTAAGGGTCCATGGGCGGCGGTCTCACTCAATAACATAATTTCTTCCCTTCTATTTATTTTAACTTTCTTAACCTATTCTTTATTTTAACTTTAGTAACCTATTCTTAATTTCCTGTTAAAAAACCCTCTAAGATTAACTTACAAATCTAGTTCTTTCGTTTTTTTCTCTTTTCTTATTATTTTTTACTATATATATCTCAAAAATACTGGTCTCCCTTTAACTTATCAGCAGTAAATTCAGATCAGAGAGTTTCTCATCTGTTCCGTCATCTGAGACGGACATCTGATCCGTCCGGTCTTGCCGGCAATAATTATAAACTTACAGTCAACAATTTTGAAGCGAACGTCAATATGTAAATAAATGAATACTTAGATAGTAAAATATATTTACCGCATCGATCAGCTTCATCAGCACCATCAGCGCAATCGGTAGCATCATCACACAATTGTAAGAGCGGCACACATCTAGTTCCATTATCGCATCGCAGAGCCGGCCAAACGCAATCATCTACCGGGGTTGCCATGGTAACCGAGGTTGTAGTCACTACTGGAGCGGGTGTAGACATCCCCCCGCAACCCGCTTCATCAGAGCCATCGAGGCAATCTACGCGAGCATCACATCTAAACTCCTGCAATTGTTAAAACGTAATTCATAAAAAAACTTAAATGTTTTAGAAGAAGCGTCACTCACATATCTGTGAATATATATGACTTGATTTCATATGTTTGTCTTTGAACATATACTGTTTACCATGAAACACTGGAGAGCTCATAGGGGCTGTTAACTATATTATTTTCAACAAATAAAGCAAAACAGTAGCCATGTCTCTTTTCATCACAGCGTAAACAGAAAGAGACGAAAGGTGGTTACTATTTATTATAGGAATCTCAGAGGCTCATAGGAGCTGATAACTATATTATTTTCAACAAAAAAGCAAAACAGGTAGCTATGTCTCTTTTCATCACAGCGTAGTCAGAAAGAGACGAAAGTTGGTTACTATTTACTATATGACTCTATGAGGCTCATAGGAGTTGATAACTTTATTATTTTCAAAAAAAAAGCAAAACAGGTAGCTATGTCTCTTTTCGTCACAGCGTAAACAGAAAGAGACAAAAGGTGGATACTACTTATTATAGAACTCTCTGAGGCTAATAGGAGCTAATAACTATATCTCTTTTCATCACAGCGTAGACAGAAAGAGAAGAAAGGTGGTTACGATTTATTATAAGACTCTCATTGGAGTTGATACCTATATTATTTTTCATTAAGAAAAAAATCATTTGTTTTACATTAACATAATCCTAACCTGTCGAATACACTCTCCATTATTACACTGGAACTCATGGGGCTCACATAGGCCCCCGCGATCTTCTTGGCCCGTGTGACCCCTGCGTCGTGCGGGCGTAGCGGTCGTGGTCGTCGTGTGGCGTGCTGGTCCACGACAGGCTACCTCATCAGATGCGTCTGCGCAATCTGCGTGTCCATCGCAGTAGTACTCCCATGGCACACACGCCCCATTCGTACATTTGAACATTACGCTTGAACATTCCACGGATTCTGGGAAATTACAACATAGATTAAAACAAAATAAGGGGAATTTTAACAGCGTTTCTAAAGCGTATCCTGTAACGCTATAAATGTCAAAGTACAGAAATTTAACGTGTCAAATCCACGCGTTGTATGGGGGAATACCCGTGAGTAGGTTATAAGAGGTTTACAGTATTAAACATCATTGATATCGCGTGTTATTTGCAGCGCCATCTCTTGATAATATTGCTTTCGGATTATAATACAATACAATTCCGATTTAATAAATTATACAGAACATTCCATGTCTTTATGTAGGCCCAAATATATTTGAAAAGTTTTGGACATATATATATTTCTAGTCATACATAAGTTTTCAAGAAATGTGAAATTAGAATATTCTGTTGACACTCGGAAGGTTAAAATAAATATATGTAGTTTGATAGTCTCAAATTTTGCTTCTTATAAATAAGAGGAACATTTTATATTACTGTAGCTGAAGCGTACTATTTTTGTTTTACGTTTTGCAATATTTGAGCTTCAATCCAAGTTTTAGTAATGGATTAACAATTCTGTAATTTTTACGTTATACTTAGCTTACAGCTAGCATCTATATATTTAAAGAAAAAACTTTTAAACCAGATTAAAGTTATGTATTGTTATAAATTTACAATTATTTAACATAATTTTAAATTTATCCGACGTTTCGCGTGCTTTACAGCGTAACGCTGTAAAGCTGTAAGCTGTAATTTATGTTAAATAATTGTAAATTTATAATAATACATAACTTTAATCTGGTTTAAAAGTTTTTCTTTAAATGTGTAAAGAGTATGTCAATCAAAGACAATTCTATGTGCAATCTATATATTTTTTTTATTATATAGTCCTTAAAGAGACGTAGGTATGTTTGAATTCCAATTAAATTTTTGTATAAATACCGCAATTTTGCTCGTCACTGCGATCTTGTGGGCCACAATCTGGTGCGCCATCACACCGCCAAGTGGCAGGGAGACAACGTCTCGAACGTGCGCACGCGAACTGCGCGGCACCGCATTCAACGCGCGCGCACCATGCACCGCTTTCGTCAGACCCATCACGACAATCTAAATATTTTAGTAAAAACACATATTTAAAAATAAGAATTCAATTCAGGTGTCAACTATACCTTTTTATTTATTAACTATAATACTAATCTATCTCTTTCTTTCACAGTGTAAACATAATTTAACAGAAAGAGACAAAAGAGTAATTTTTATGTGAGCATGCATGTCAATGTCATCAAAGTAAATGAAGGGGGAAAGGTAAGTCAGGACCGTCGCAAGTGGAGTATCGTGGTCTCTGCCTCTCCCTTCGGGAAAAAGTCGTGATGATATGAATATATAAAATAATAAATATTAAACATATTGAATGTTTTAAGACTATACTAGACTAGACAATATATTTTCCGATACGAATTTAGCCCAAGAAAAAATAGGCATTTGTCCCAATAGAAAATAAATTATTACCTTTAAATCCATCGCAGATCCAACCTTTAGGTATGCAACGGTTCGCATCGCACTGCATATAATGCTCGGCGTCGCAGGTCATGTTTGCTAAAAATCAATACAATAATTTTATTTTAGTAAGTGACCTGACACATCGACGATTTTATGATTGGCCCACGGCTGGGGTTCAACCTACAGGATGAGAGAAACACCCTGAAGCCACTAGGCCACAGCTCACATCATGAATACGTTGAAATCCAACATATTATGTAATAATCTCCAACGGTGCTAGCTCAACATTAGCAGCGATAAAAAAGCTATATATGAAGAACTAAAGTTGTAAACAATTTACTGTCGCTTTTACTATTTCACACCCCCCCTTCTTCATACAATACAAGGCAAACTATTTCAAATTCCTCGGTCTAACAAACTATTTACGTAACTCAGTCATTTATCGTATACCTTTTGATTATAACACAAATTATCAGCAAATAGATATATTTAATGTAACTAAATTATTTCTTTTTAATAATTAAAAAAAACCTTGATCTTTTATTAATAAAGGCTTTGTTATTCTTCTTTATATTAAATATATATTATTATGATTAATGAATCTTAGAACTAAGAATTTTGAATTTATTATAAATATATATTTTGTTTTTGTTTTATTTTTTGTATTTATAAAAAGGTAAAAATTGTTAACTGTGCTTCATGTTTATGTTTCCTATTCCGTTTTTGGCTTTTGTGTATAATGTAAATGTTTGGATATTATTTAGTGAGTAGCTGTAGGCATACTGTTGAGTAAATAAATAAATAAAGTGACTTGCAATGTTCATTGAGAATACCATGGAACCAAGTATACAACTAAGATATGGCTTACCACAGGGTCCGGTAGGCGAAGCGTTTTCATCCGATCCGTTTGGACAGTCCGCGTCGCCGTCGCACACAAGTGATCCGTCGATACATCGTCTATTTAAAAAATAAGGCTAAGTTTACTTGGAATTGTTAGTACCATCTTAAATACTCCCGTACACATTTACTTCGCGTCTTGGTCTATAGTCAACGTCATTGAGCATTCGTTGTGCTATGTGCAATTATTTTATGTAAAATCATTTTTTGCTCTGCTACTTATAAAACCAAATTTCGTAAAATTTTATACAAAGTTTATCAATTTATCTGAAGAAATATAGTATATATATTATAATTTTTATATTATATTCCCAAAACCAATTTTATTTTGGAAAATTAAAAGATGTATACCTATTCAATAAAAAAAAATATTTCTTACTGTATATCTGTTTATAGTATAAATGTTAGTTTTATTGTTGTGTAAAATTAAGGATTTTATATATAAAAAGCAAGCAAAGTTTGAAGACATTTACCCTCGGCCGCAATGAAAATGTTTAGGGGGACAAACATGTGCTGTATCATGAGGCGTGGCCACGCACGTACGTCCGTCCGCGGCGAGCACGCGTCCGGTTCCGCACGCGCACGTATGTTCGTCCTTCTGGGCCAGGCATAGCTCTAAACAACCTCCATTGTTGTGCGTACACGCATTGGATCCTACGTTCACGATTATACACTTTAGTTAGAAATGAATAGATAATAAATAAGAGATATACATATACGTATATTATTACCAAAAACGGGTCATATGATGCATTAGATTAAGTTTTATTTTATTTATGTGTTAGAATTAAGTGTATTTTATGTAACTTAAATAATTGTATGGGTATCAGCAATAAAGGCTAATCAAATCAAATCAAAATATAGCAGTGCTTATCACGTTGTACTGTTCCTGGGTCAACGGATTTGCTTTAAATAATATAGAGAATATTATTTTCACTCAATATTAATCCCTTGCGTACGACATTTTGATGCTAATTAATTAAATATTAATGAATGCTTATAACATGAAATGCTATGCCCTTGATTTGAGAACTGGCAGTAAATGTAAAATAAGAAGCATTAATATTTACTGAGTCATAAGTGTAAATTATGTTGGCTATATGATTAAATGATTTTTTTACTTTACTTTACTTTATGCTTAAAAAAATTGAATCGAATGCTATACTGTCAGGGCTTAAGTCCGACGATTTAGGTACACACACACGCCACACTTTTAAAACTAAAAATTCCCGAGTGAGCAAAATGTACAGTCTTGGCTCGTACAGGTATATGTTGTACAGTCAAAATAAATAAAAAAATTAAAAAAAATCCTTGATTTAGGTATATAATAATAGGAAAAACAGATACTATTTGATTGCGTCGAGATAGTTTGGTCAATAATAAACAAAAGGCGCCATATTCAAGAGTGTATTTAGAAAAATACATACCGGTTCTAGTGGTATTTGATACAAAGCGTATGTCATACAGAGGTGGCGGGAAAGCTCGTACAGTAATCGCGCCGTTGCCGCGCAGCTTACGTACTAGTCCAGTGCCGTGCTCGCTCCATATCACTTCGCCTATATCGAAACACCAGTGAAAATAAATATCCAAAGAGGAAATATTATTATTATAATATTATGTATATTTGCTTGAATTTTTTATTAAGTTCAAACATAGCCGATCAAATCGGCTAGATATACACAAATAGCTTTTATTTAAGCAAGTTTTTTTAGCGCATGAATTACATGTTAACGGGTTCAAAATAAATAATTTAAATAACTTACATTTATCCATATTTGTATTTTTTTTAAATAAATACCTGATCGCAAAGCAAGGCCATAGGGTTTTGACAGCGGCAGTCTAGCCGAATTCACTGCTAACAATTCGCGAGCTGTCCCCGTAACCACGTCACCTGAGTTGGCTACGCGCACGCGTTCGATCTTATTCAAGTAAGTGTCGCACCTGTCATAAAACAACACGTTAAATCTAATATTAATAGTAACAATAATTTTTGTACCCAGCGCTCCGGATCTGAGGTTTAAGTGAAAAACTTTTGGCTGTAATCTGAATGTTCCACGATTTTTTTAAGAAAAAATTTTTTTAATTCAAATTATGAGCTACATACGAAGCCTGTAGATTTTTCACTGTAACTATTGAATGTCTTAGGACCAACTATACTCTGATTTTTTATTGCGTACAATTCTGACATTTCATAAATGTTGCTACTAAAAAAGTTCTCCACCGAAAAAGGGACAAATTTGACCCATTTAAGGGCAATAAAATAAAATGCTACATATTTTTTATGCTTTACCTACAAAAAGGTAAATCTAAATATTAACTTACTCAAGTACAAAAATAACAAATATTTCAATATCACAAACAATATATCGATTTAACTTTAATTACTTTATTTTATCTTTAGCTGGCATCACTGCCTCCTAATCCCAGGTTTAAACCTTTTTCAAAAAATATAAGTTATCTTTACTTGTGCGTTTTTTACTGTTTGTGATGAAAAGGGACGTAATTATTTATTACTTGCCGTAAAACTACTTTTAATGTGGAGCACCGCACTTAATAAAATGGATACATTCACTAACAAATAAAATGTTTGTATAGACTCAGATGTTCAGACTGGTATTGAAATTGAAAAATGTGCCCGGCAAAAAAGGTTTGTAATCTCTGACATGTCAAAAAATTATAGCTGTCAGAATTCTACGGAATAAAAAATCAGAGTACAAGTAACCTAGCATTAGTAATAAGAAATGAAGTCTTACCAATAAAGAAATTGAGTATTGACATCGTACACCAATCCGTTAGGCCAGTGGAGGTCAGTATCTATTATTACACGGCGTCGCTCACCGTCCATATACGCTGTTTCAATACGTCCGCCACGTGTTGCGCTGGCACTACCCTCCCATACGGTCCACCACATAACACTATATAAAAATAAAAATAAATAAGCCATGAAGATGTCCATTAATCAATCGTTACACTTCACCTATATCAGCATAGATAAACAACTAGACCCGAACACTACAAAGTATTATTATGTACGGTTCCAGGGTCATCAGGATGCTTTAAATAATAGAGAATTTTATTTTTACTCTATATTAACCACTCGCGTACAATAGAATATAAGCGAAATACTGTTTACTATGTAAAAATGAATGCAATGTAACTGTTGAAGACAGTGCCTACATCTGGATATGCTTTTGGGGCGTAACTCCGATGATTTAGGAAATCGCCACGCTTATAAAACTAAAAAAGCCTGAGTGAGCAAAATGTACAGCCTTGGCTCGTACAGATAAATAATGCCAAATTTGATATAATCATTTAATTATTCTGTATAATAAATGTTCAGCCATGAGTTAAACGCATTCAACAAAACATCTATGTAAATTTGTATGCTTGTGTGCGCATATCGTCGCACAAACGTTGACAGAAACTGTTCTACTATTATGGTTATGTCGCTAGCATAACGGCGTTGCACAGAATTCTCCAGCCTCAGCTAAAAGATGGAATTAGGATACAGTACTGATAATTCAAATAATTCCTTTTAATTCAAATAATTCTTACTTTTTATTTGTTTTATTGCTTTTCTTGTACTGTTACCTAGTGTTATGTGTTTGATAATTTTGTGGGCCAAATACAAAAAAAATATTTGCGAGAATCAAGATTTTTATACAGATATTTAAGACTCATGATATATATATGTTATATACATAAAACTCATGATAGAGGTCTATCTAATTCTTATGTAATTTACTTTAGTTTCAAATTCAAATTCAAAATTCAAAAGCCTTTTATTGCCAACCTTAAATAACATTACTTTAGCTGTGTTAGTATTTAGTTTTCTTAATTTATTGTTAGTATTATATTTAATAGTATATTAAATAACTAATTGTTTATTTAGTTGGGTACCCGGTTATGGGTAAAGGCCTCCTCCATATTTTGCCATCTGTGTCGGTTCTGAGCGTCCCTTGTCCAGGTGTTGCCGGCCATGTCATGTATCTCATCTCTCCATCTCATAACGGGATGACCTTTGTTCCTTCGGCCGTCTCTGGGATACCAATGAAGTACGCGTTCACTCCATCTTCCGTCATTTACTCTTGTTATGTGTCCTGCCCATTTCCATTTGAGTTTGCAGTACATTTCGGCAGCATCTATTAAGTTGGTTTGTTTCCGGATCTCTATATTTTTTACTCTATCACTTAGTCTTACACCCAGCATCGATCTCTCTGTTGCTCTTTGGAATACTGACAGTTTTTTTATTTGTTTTTTTGTTAGAGACCATGTCTGGCAGCCGTATAATAGGCATGGTAGAATCGTGCTGTCATACAGTTTTTTCTTTAAGTGAATTGGTATTTTTTTGTTTTTGAATATATCTTTGTTTGCCCAGAATTTTTTCCATGAGATGGCGATTCGTCGACTTAGCTCTTTTCTGTGAGATCGTCCAGGGAAATGAGTTGGCCTAAATAAATGTATTCATTTACATACTCTATTACACATGACTCTATTGTTGTAATTATGCGGTCGTCATTGGTCATAATTTTGGTTTTTGTCATGTTCATTTGTAAGCCTATATTTTTACTTACAGTGTTTAGTGTTGAAAGCATGATTTGTAGGTTTTCATGAGTATTTGACAGTATTACTATGTCATCGGCAAAGCGTAGATGTGACAGGAATTCTCCATTTATGTTAAGTCCACAATTTGCCCAATGTAGTTTCCTGAACATTGATTCTAATAGAGCTGTAAAAAGTTTTGGTGAGATAGGGTCGCCTTGTTTGACTCCACGTTTAATTCGAAATAGTGGCCCATAACTCTCTAGTTTTATTTTGGCGTTATAGTCGTCATATATAAGTTTTAATATTCTAATAATTTTATTATTTATTCCTTGTTCTTTTAATGCTTTCCATAAATGTGTTTGTAAAATCGAATCAAACGCTTTAGTATAATCAACGAATGCCAAGTAGATAGGTTTGTTATATTCTCTGCACTTTTCAATGCACTGTGTCAATGTAAAGATATGGTCAACAGTTGAAAATCCTTTCCTAAATCCGGCTTGCTCTCGTGGTTGCTGTTCGTCTAAGCTTTTACTGATTCGGAAGAGTAAGAGTGATGAGAAAAGTTTGTATAAAGTTGGTAGTAAGCTGATTGGGCGGTAATTATCTATTAGTTTGGAGTCTCCTTTCTTGTATATGAGTGTTATTATTGAATGTGTCCAATGATCGGGTATTTTTTTCTCTTTCAAGTATTTTATTAAAAATATTAGTCAGGTGTGGTGCCAATTGTTCTGCCGTTGCTATTAACATGTCTGTGGTGATGCCATCTTCGCCGGGTGATTTATTTTTCTTCATTCTTGAGATAGCGCTTTCGACTTCGTCTAGTAAAAAGCAAGGGACCTGTTCTTGATCGTGTATCTGGTTTATATTTAAGTCGACTGGGTTCGTTTGTTGGTTTTCCGAATATAATTTTTTATAAAAGTCAGTAGCTGATAGAAGGATGCTTTGTCGATTTGTTATAGTTTCTCCTGATTTTGTTTTTATTGAGTGCATCCATTCTTTTTTGTGGCTTTTCTGGCTGTTTTTAGTAGAGCCTCTTGTTTCCAATTCACTTTCAATCAATTTCATTTTTATTTTATTTTTCCTTTCAATTATTTTTTTCTTTATTTTTCTATAAAGTTTCTTTAGCCTTTTTTTCTCTATGTCTGAGCGTGGCCATGTGTTCTTAAGTTTTTCTCTTTCATTTATTAATTTTAGGATATTATTGTTTATAGTGTTGCTTTCTTGGTCTTTTTTTATCGCATTTGTTGGTAAGTACGAAGTGCTTTTTTGTATTGCAGACACTATAGTTTTATAGTGGTTATTTATATTTTCAGTTGTAGGATTTCCAGCTAGTTCTCTTGTTACTATCATTCCCATCACATTTGATTCTATAGGTAGAAACGTTTTATTCTTAGTTCGAAGAAATTTACGTTTTTTCTTTGTTTGTTGTAATTTGTAGGATATTCTCAGCATTCTGTGATCAGACGGGAATTTTGGAGAGAGAATTTCAAAATTTGTTATGAATCTTTTATCTTTAATCAATATGAAATCTATCTCGTTTTTAGTTTTGCCATTGGGTGATAGCCATGTCCATTTCCGTTTTTGAGGTTTCTTAAATATGGTATTAGATATAACGAACTTGTTTGTATAACAGAATTGTAGTAGTCTTTCCCCTCTTTCATTTCTTTCTCCATATCCATATTGCCCACAGATCTTGTGTTCTTCAGGTAGAGGAAGCCCAATTTTTGAATTGAAGTCCCCTAGTATAATGACGTGTTTCCCAGTGTTTGAGAGAGCTTGAGTGACTTGGTTGTAAAATCGTTCCACCGCTTCTTCTTTAGCTCTTTCGATAGGTGCGTAAGCTTGTATTATGTTTAACACAGTTGTGTCACACTGAATGTCTAATCTTACGACTCTGTCTGAGTAAGTTGTGAAATCTATAATGTTCTTTTTTAAGTTACTATTGACGATAAATCCTACTCCATTTGACCCACTTTTGTCTCCTCTATACATTAAGATATAGTTTCTATATTGTTCTATTTTTATGCCTTCAATTTTTACTTCCGATAATCCAATAATATCATATTTTATTTTATCTAGCACTTGATCTAATTCTGGTAATCTATTTTCTGCGAGCAGCGATCTAACGTTGTACGTACAGATGTAAATAATATTGTTTTTTAATTGAGTTTTATCCTCATAGCCTTGTGGAGGGTTGTGGTCATACTCTTCCGCGGTGACCAACCGTCTTGGAAAGGTTTTTGTGTTAAGTGTTCCAATTTTGAATGTTTCACATCTTTTAGCTGGAGGGTTTTGGTCTAGTGCTCCCGCGGGGACCAGCCGTGTTGGGAGACGTGGAAATGAATTTTGTGGGAAGTTGGTTGTCTTTGATTGTTTGTTTTGGTTTTGGTTATGAGTATCAGCGCGGGTTGTTAGTTTTTGAGGGTTCTGATATTGACGCTGATCGTCCGCGTTCAACATAGTTAAGTATGCCAGGTTTCCGGATTTCTTTAGTTGCTCCACTTTTCGGCTTTTCTAGGTTGGATTTTTTCTGTGTTGACGGGATTGGTGAATTAGACTCCTCTCTTTTTCTTTTATCACGGTTTTTGTCTTGTTGCGATGGTGCTTTAATTATTATTTTGTCGTATCTCAGGAATGCGATATTTCCTTTTTTCTTCTCTTCCTCGACCTGTGGCTGGAGCTGTTTGCGTATTTCCAATACTTTTTTGGGGAAATCTTCTTTGATGTAAATACCTGATGGAAGGTTTGATTTGCATTTCATTATTGTATGTTTTTTCCACAGTGTTGTGAAAGATACCACTACTGGTCGGTTTTTTGTTACTAGTACGACGTCCAATCCTATATACATTACTGATTTCTTGACTTTCCATGTGGACACCTGTGTCTATTATTATCTCTTTTATGTAGTCTACGAGCTCACATTCTGTTTTTCCTAGCTCTTCGAGTCCAAAAAAGATTAGGTTGCATTTACGCTTTTCATTTACGGCATTATCAAGTTTTTGTTCCAGTTCGTTTACCTTTGATTTGAGCATAGTGTTTTCTTCCATCATAGTTTTTATTTTCTCATCCATTGCTTCCAAAACGTTCTTAGTGACTGATGTTGTTATGGTTAAAGTTTGTTGTTTTAATTTTTCGTCAAGCTTCGAAAATAGCAACTGCATCATCTCTAAATTGTCCATGTTGCGGTACTTTTTTTGTTTTCGTGCACTGGCAACCCTCTGATCGTCAGTGTCTATGAAAGTTTGTTATTATGTTGGTAGGTCTTTCTGTTTTGTATGTTGGTACCGGGTTGTGACTTGTATTATGTTGGTACCAAGTCTATTTACATTGCATTGCACTTTTTAGGTTATAGTATTAGCAAGTATT